TTCCACAACAAATTGGAAGTAAACATTTCTTTTGCCAGAACTGTATTATTCATGATCTGCTACTAACATTTTTCGGACTGCACAATCACACTTACAACAGTTGCAAATCAAAAAAGAAATGAGGGAATACGTCAAGCAATGTTGAACTATATTCTCTCTCGTCCCACTCAAGCACTCAATTTATAAGAGAAATATAATTACACTTAGAAACCCTAAATGATTGTAGTTATTCATGAACTCAAGTTCAAATTACTTAAAGATTTTGTTTTATTTTTATTTGTTTAAAAAAGGAACCCCGTTAGCCTAAAATATATATAGATATGCTTTTATATCTAGCTAGATACATGTAGTGAAGACTAGTAATATGTGAAATAGAGGTTGTATATTGGTTTTAAAGCTACCGGTTGCTTTAAACGAAGGGGAATAGGAGAAACTCATCTCCTCCTACAAAAATTTAAAAAACGTCTTTTCATTTTATTTTATTTTTTTTAAATTTGGTGTGTCCCATGATTTCATTAGCATGAAGGAGAGTTGTAAATTTTTCCTATAACAGGATAAATGTACAACCCTTAAACAAATGCATGTATAACTTATTAGCCAATAAGGACACTGAAAAAGTAATTATGTGAGAATGATCATTGATAAGAATAATGTTTTTTACACATCTTTAAAATGCACATCACCTTGCATTAGAATTTTGGTATAGCTATGTAGAAATTTTAGTGAATTTAATTATAATCTGATGGTAAAAATTATGTAAATGTAAAGTGAAATAGCATTATTTTTCATAAAAATCTTCAGTGTCTAAGAAGAGGAGGAGGGAAACCGATTTTTCATATAGAAGTTGTTTTGGATTGGACCTCGGATTGGGTCCAAAGTTCTGGAAATCCATTACTTAAAAGGCTTGAGCCTTGAAGGTTCAACTCAACAACAAGAAAGGTTATTAGGCGGTTACATCATGTATAAATCCGATATAATTTAATTTAGATAACGGGTCGAATATTTTAAACCCGATGACCCGAGTATTCAACCCATACGCAACCCTGAAATAACTTGTTGCTTGTGGAGTTCTGTTGCTATTCATTCTCTGTTCCGACGTCGCTCTTTCCGGTATGTGCTATGCCGTTACACTACAATTTTACATCTTACTCGAACTAAATGCACCCTTGAAACTTGAAATACATAGCATAACATCTTATTTTGTGTTTGTGTTATTTTGTTTTCTTAATATAATAGTTGTGCAGATTAAGAGAACACGGGTTTTGTAAACCGGTGCGGGTCAAATGCTTATATTAAAAAAAAAAATTAACTCTCTAAAAAGAACACGAGTCCGTCTTCTCACTAGCGAAATCCTTAAAAAGAACACAGCCATAAACGTAAAAAAACATAAAATTCATCACTGGTCATTTTCACAGGTCCGTCTACTACTTCATCGAGTCACAAGGAAACCCTCAAGAGGACCTTGGTTGTTCTTCTCTCTTCGGAAAGGTATCTTTTTCAACATATTACTAGTTGTCAAGCCCGGCCTACAGCCTTGTAGGCTGACCTATTTAATTTATTAAAATAAAATAATAAAATAATATTTATTTTATGTGGCAAAGACGCAGAGTACCAAATATCAATATATCTTACTTTTTGTGCTATTTTATTTTATGAAAGGAAAACTTGTCTAATGTCTCCAAATTTTACATGCTGTTGCAGCTTAATACCATGGAGTAATGGGTACCTTGCTGGATTATGATGTTACTGATGAAGATCTTTCAATAATACTCTTCTTTCCCTTGTCTTGATGGTGGTTTAAAGATTTTTAGATAAATGACATTCTCTTGTAGACTTTATTTCAGCATTCGGTAATTGTATTTTTCTTATTTTCTTCATTTGTCTGACTCTATTCCTCTATGATATACATTCTAGAGCTGGGGTATTATGTTGACTCTTTCTTGTTTGTCATTTTTTTCTTATGAAAAGTACTAGTACATGCATGAATTCAACTTTCTTTGCTCTATACAATTTTTTTTTTGCTTACTATCTACAGTGGGAGGCCTACAAGGCCTGTAGGCCATGTTAGGCTTTCTTATTTTAAAAAATGGGCCGGGCTTGACCTACAAATAAAGCCTTTAATAAGGCCAGTAGGCCAGATAGGCTGAATTTTTTTTGACGTAGGCTTGAGTCAAAAAGATCAAAGCGCAGCCCAGCCCATTTATACCCCTACCTCTCAGTCACATACACAACATAACACTAATTAGAGAGTTAATATCATCGTTGGGATAGTTACCCCCTTCCGAGGAAGCCATATTGTTTTCACGCTCCTTCACTTCCTCCAAGCACATTTCCTCCTTCACTTGTGCTGTAGTAACTATAGCTACCCACTGAAAAATTCCTAACTTTTCTTCTCTAACTAGCCAAATCCCAAATCTGATTTATACAATAATTAAGGTAAAAAAAGAAAAGTTAGTCACGATATTATACATTTCCCTTAACTTTCCTCTATGGTTAATTTATATGCTTTAATATGGTTCACTTCAGTTGCTATCAAAAAAATTAATATGGTTCTCTTGGAGTAATAACTATGAAAGTTTTACCTCTATATTATACTTGGTGTTCTGCTCATAGGATTGTGTAAACCACCTACTGGCTAGTGCCATAATATTTTAGCATCCTTTTTCTTGCCAAAACCTTTTGAAAATGACACACTTGACATTCACGGAGGCAATATTTGGTTTAGGAGAAATTTTTTTTTATTAGGAAAATGTAATTACAAGGAAAAACGTAGGAAAGTAAGTTTGGTAGGAAAGTTTAAAAAAGGTTGTTTGGTACTGCAAAATATTACTAGAAAAATTGGGTTAAATATGCTGATTGTATGTTTGGTTGAAAATAAAAATTTGATGGGAAAATGGATAGAAATTACGAAAGTAACCTTTTTATAAAATTTTGAATGTTACATGTGGTTAAGAGGGGTATTCTTGTCTTGATTTTCATCCACTTTTACAATTTCTCCGATTTTTCAAGAAATACCATGTTGTAAACAGCATTCGTTAACAGTGTATTCTCACCTTTTTTACATGCATTTGTAATTAGATAGACAACTATGTTTCATGGGTAAAAGTCATGATTTCATTCTACCAAACACGGAGAACAGAGAATGCAACATGCACTTCGCTAGGAAATTTTTGAGATATCCTGAACCAAACACCCCTTAAGAGCTGTAAACAAATAATTCGATCAGAAACTACCCATCTAACAATGTGAAATCAATTAGTGACTAACTTGTTATTATTTTATTATTAAATTTTATGTTATACTTTTCAATTAGTGATATCAATTATTAACTTACGGTGAAATCAATTACTACCCATCTGTACAAAAATTATCCTTTTATGTTATACTTATATTATTATTTTTTTGTCCTTGATATGTTTTTGCTTTTATATGTTATACAATAATAGTTAATATAATTAATAGAAGGCAACACATATACTGGTTCACTTTCTTAATTTAAGAAATAGTATTTGAATAATCATTACTATCAAGTATAACTTTAGACTGTGATGAGGCATTTTTCTGACATGTTTTCACTTCCTTATCAATTATTATGGAGGTATTTGACAGCATTTACATCATTGTTAGCAAGCTATTTTGTTGAGTAGGCAGCAAAAAATTTTTTTAGGGGGCGTTTGGTAGAGGAATTTTTTTTTTTTTACCAGAGAAATCCTTTTACTAGTAATATATTGGGAAAATGAATTTGGTAAGAAAGTTAAAAAAAGTTGTTTGATAAACTGAAATATTAACGGGAAAATTGATGTAAGTTTCCAAAGTCTATGTTTGGTTGAAAATAATATATTGATGGGATAATGGATATAAATTACCAAAATGGGCATATTAAATTTTGAATCTGAAAAAAATTTGGTACACTTCTTACTGAACCATAGCTTTTAGTTGAAGAGTATGAGTAGTCAAGTGTCTCAACAGTAGATGAGGGGCATTTCTGACAAAAAATTTCCGCTAGTTTCTTCCTTTTCCTAGTTAACACGAAGGGAAATCCGATTGTCGTGTAACATAACAATCAAAACATATCTTGCCCATACATCGAAAATCCCCTTTTTCTTTTATTTTTTTTTCTTTCTTTTTTTGAATTAGCCCCACCATAATTTTGTTTCTGCAGGAAAACTATTCATCGCTCCTGTGACAGCATGAAAGCAAATCCCTAACATGAAATACCACTTATTAATTGGTTTTCTGGAACAGTGAACTCAACAAAGATTTACACACAATTGACTATGCCTGGGGAAAGCATTTGCCTAGTTCAATTTTATAAACACTTCTACCAAACATGGTAAAATCCTAAACCCAATCTAAGTTGCCTAGTTATTTGAGAGAAAAACTTCTACCAAACACATCCTCAAGGTGATTTTGGAAGATTTAGTGTTACGGTATTGCCAAAAATTTCTGTTACTACCAGTACAAATGATCCATGACAACTAATACTCCTTATTTTTCTAAAAGTAATTCTTATAAGGTCTGATTTTGGGTTTTTCAAAAAACTGAAAATCGATCCAATCCAAACCAAAAAAAATTGGATTGGATCAGATTTGAAAAAAAAATCCAAATCGATTGGATGATTAAATGATCAAACCGAAGGGATTGGATCAGATGATTTTTTGCTTCAAAACCGATCCAATCCAGATCGCGAACACCCCCTAAAATTTTGGTATAACTATGTATTATAATGTGATAGTAAAAATTATGTAAATGTAAAGTGAAATAGCATTATTTTTCGTAAAAATCTTCAGTGTCTAAGAAGAAGAGGAGGGAAACCGATTTTTCATATAGAAGTTGTTTTGGATTGGACCTCGGATTGGGTCCAAAGTTTTGGAAGTCCATTACTTAAAGGCTTGAGCCTTGAAGGTTCAACTCAACAACAAGAAAGGTTATTAGGCGGTTACATGTATAAATCTGATATAATTTAATTTAGATAACGGGTCGAATATTTTAAACTCGACGACCCGAGTATTCAACCCATACGCAACCCTATAATAACTTCTTGTTTGTGGAGCTCTGTTGCTATTCATTCTCTTTTCCGACGTCGCTCTTTCTGGTATGTGCTATGCCGTTACACTACAATTTTACATCTTACTCGAACTAAATGCACCCTTGAAACTTGAAATACATAGCATAACATCTTATTTTGTGTTTGTGTTTTTTTCTTTTCTTAGTATAATAGTTTGAATGAAATTTGTATAGTTGCAGTACGAAAATGCCTCGAAGGCCAAGAAGGCATTGCCAACGACTCAAATCTTTGCCTATTACATTCTCCCCTTTTGCTCGTGCTCTTGCTCGTATGGCCTCTTTTTCTATGAACAAGCTTCCAATACCAGACTCCGAATTTATTCAAAAACCCACCCCTAGCTCTCCTAGTAAGACTTTTTTTTTTTTCAATATTTTAATCTTAATCAATCATGTAAATCAATGTTTTGAAGTGCCTTCTTTTAAGTTTCAAGTGAGTTTATGTTTTGCATGCCTATCTCTGACCCACTTACTAGGTAATGGATTTATGAAGCGCGCGTTGGAAGAGCAACCAGAAAGGCCCGAGTCATCTGATGAGGAGTTTAATGTGAGATTTCTTCTCTTCTCATGCTATAGTTTCTGATGATTCATTTTGTATTATTAATTTTTTTGAAATTCAAGACTTTATCTTTGAACAAGTGAAATTAAATTGAAATGGGCTCTTTGCTGGTTTAAGGGAGTTGTCCAGGCAGATTTTTCCTTTTTTGATCCTAAACCTGATGATTTTCATGGAGTGAAGACCTTGTTGCAAACTTACCTCGATGATCAAGAATGGGATTTGACTGGCTTTGTAGACTTGATTTTGGGACAGACCACCGTGGGGACTGTTGTCAAGATAGAGGATGACGAGGATGAAGGACTTTTTGCTGTTGTTACTGCTCTTAATTTATGGAGATATAGGGTAATAACTCGTATTGTGTTATCTATGACTTTTGCCGGATATGGTTGCCTCAAATTATTAAATTTTTTTTTTGGAAACCCTGAGTGTAGTTATGTATTCAACGAACTGAAGAGAAAATGCGAGAAAAAGAGAGAAAGAGTAAGAAAAGTTAACTGTGAACATTGTTTATACAGGAATCACAAAGCTTAGATTTTGATCATACCACATCACTTATTTTACTGGATCTTCAACCAATTCTGTGCTTCAATATAATTACCGGGAGTGAGAGCTATAGCTTGTTTCCAATATTCAGCAGCTTGATCAAACCAAGACTAATACTTTTGTCTGTAAATACTGCATATTTTATTCCATTCATAAATCTATTTTATTCCAAGTTTCAGATCTAACTAAACTAAATTGAATATGTTCAGTATAACAGAAAGCACATGGGCAATAACGAACTTGGTAGCTAACTACCTACAACAATACAGAAGACTAACATGTTACATAAAGAGAAAACATATTACCAATAGTTTTTAGTACTCTAGTATATAAAATCATTGCCTTTGCCGTTTGGTCACTTGACGTAAGATATACTTCTTTTTCTTTTTCTTGCATGGTGTGTTCCTGCCTTTACTACCTTTAATGATTTTCCTTTCGAAAATGTGTTTAGTTGTCATGTTATATAACTTAGACCCCAATATCCAATTTTTACTAGTTTGCAATTTGTTATGGGAAGCTCCCCTCACCAAAATAGTATCATGCATGTATTTTGATAATTAAGAATGGAATTAGAATTGTATATTAAATTTTGTTTTAAAATTGAAACTTAATCAATTCATTCTTAGTTCAATATTCATTTTTTCACTTTAGTGTCTTCAGTTCATTCTCTGTTGGCAATGTGCAAATTTGGTTCATGACTGGCTTAGCATCTCAACATTTGTAAAACCTTGAGTAATACTTTGCCAGGAGCAAAGATGTATTATGACACTCAAGGACTTTTTCCTCCTTAAAGCGTGCCAAGAGAAGGGTGTTGCTGATCAATTAAAATTACTTTTGGGGGAACAAGCCCATAATGTAGGTCTCCTGGTATCACAGCGCGTGGTGAACCTCCCTCCCCAGCTTTTGCCACATCTTTATGATGCCCTTTTTGATGAAGTGTCATGGGCCACAGAAGATGAGGTTAGATGTTAGTAGTATCAGATGGGCGAGGGTGTTAAAATGTGTTTCTATTTGATTGCTGGAGTTTCTTTTTAGAACTTATATTGTTGTGTTTCACATTTAACAGCCAACAGAGGACCTCCAGAATTCCTTCCAGTTTAAGCATTATATAATACTTAGCAAAATTTACAAGGTATTATGCTTCTATAGTATCTCCCTTCAATTTATTGTCCTCTTGTTCATCTTTCTAGCTTTTATGGTTAACTTCATATTTGTCTTCTCCACTTTCATTGTTTTGTGATGTTTTACTTCTTTCATGGGGATGTGAAAATATAGCACAAGAATGTACAACAGAAAAGAAAACTCGGCAATGAAAGTGATGTGGCGATAATGTATATAAAACCTGAGGATGAAATTTTTCACAAGGTATTGATGTGTTTGTGGTATCATTTTGAATTATTTTCTCTCTGGTACTGATTATTTTCCAAAATATTTTCCAGTTAAGCTCTTGGTCCTTCTGTTTTCCGTTGCAAACTCAGAAGCTTACATCTCATGAGGCAAGTTTTAATAGACCATTATTGTGATGCTTTTATTAACTTGCTTAAAGTCCCTTGTTTTGGGTCAATTTCTGAATGTTACTTAAAAAACATAGTGCTACCTCTATTTGTAGCAGAAATATAAACAATCTTGGCCATGTGGTCTTTTTGTGGGATTGTGGTGTTTATACAAATGGAATGCAGTGACCAAAATTTTAATCAGAAGTTTCTCCCCATCCATTTTTTTTGTTCATTGTGGGTTAGCAAATGGTTTTCTTCAGGGTGAGGTGCCGGGTCCTTTTACAGATTGACATAGATATTGGATAGCTCGTTGTAGCTAAAGTTTGTTTCTTGCCTATGTTTTTCTTTGGTTGTTCTGAGGACCTTTGACAAGCTTGGTTGTTAAGGGAATGGATTATTAGACATCATCTAAAATGTGATTGCCTTGATTTAACAGCCAAAACAATAAGAAATTTCATATCAAATAGAATTTTATTTTCAGTACCACGAGATGTGATTGGTTTTCTCTTTCCTTCTCCACTGCCACAAAATAATAACATCAGGATTAGGATGTATATATTTCTCATTCTCCACAATTTGGTGATCTCTCACAAGTTGTTATGGATTTCTCATTCTTTAAGTTTCTATCTTTTGATTGCAAACCTTTCCTTTTTTGTAGTAAGAATTTCAAGATTTTTTAACCATGTTTGCAATGGAGGTTATGCTGCTGCATATGGTATAGACCTAGGACGCTCTTATCCTGATATATAAGCAAACTCATTCTATTATCTTGGCATTTAGGACATTAGATTCAATAAATTGTCGTTTAACTTTCTGTGGTGGTATGTAAGCCATCTAAGACATCTCATTTGTGCTCTGTGTTTAACACTCTAGATTTTCTTTGCGTATGTTGTTCATTTTTGTCTGGTAAGCAAACATAATATGAAAATAAATTTGGAGAAATTTATTACTGTATATCATATAAAATTTGAGGTTATTTGTAAGGAAAAAAATCATGTTTCCTGAAGTATTGTGTCTGTCATGCTATGAATGTACATGTTATAGGAGTTGAGGCATATCTTTTATGTGGGTTCATCTACCACCGACCCCAATTAATTTGGGATAAAGGTGTTGTTGATGTTGATGTTGTTGAAGTGTTCCCTTTGGAGTTATTGCAATTTCCAATTTCCTTTTTAATTGTCAATTGCTTTTGTCATCATTGCATTTTCAGTTGTAACAAACTCATGGGATATATAAATCCCGAGTGTGGGAAGTGATGGGTATCAGAAAAGTTCCAAAAACTCTCTCCTTGTTCTTCCCTGTTCTTCCCCAGTCTGCTCTTGCTCTCTTCTCCTTCTTCTTCCTGTTTTCTTGTTGTACCCGCTACACAATAGATCTGAAATTTCTTTCAGTTATGGTTTCTTGCTTAAATTTGATTCTGTAGTGAGTGGATAGCAATCTCTTTCATCAATGATTCTGAGCTATATATTCATGTTTCTGCTTGTTACAGCTGAGGAATTACAGGTCAATGGGATTAGTCATGGCTGTTGAGGCAGACAAAATTCCAACATTTCGTGAAGAATTAGTTTCTTTAATAAATGAAACCTGAAGGCAACGAGAAGCTTCCTGAATTGTTTATTATATAATAGAATCTTAATACTTTTCTGAAGCTTCCCATGTATGATTCATGTTATTTGAGTTGTCAAATTTTGTTTTTGTTTCTTTTTTTAAAAAAAAAATTGTATGTATGATTCATGTTGTTTATGTATTGAAGACATCACTCTTTGTATGCTTAGTGAAATTGCAAAATGGTATATGCTCTGCAGGGAGCACGTTGCAATGATTATGAATACTATTTTTTTTCAGTCCAAACAAGCAAAATTAATTTGATTAACTCATATTTGAAGCTGAAAGTGATTCAATAAATGTTGGTAAAACTGAATTCAACAATTTAAAAAATTATTTCGTTGAGTGGTCAAAGCATGCGCTTCTCTATATGAGACATCTGTTTGAAGTTCTCGAACTAAATTGTGATACACTTGTGGAGTCTTCAATATTGCATTAATCCTTACTGGCTTCTTGCTTCATTCAATCTATTTAAGGTGATGATGAATGGATGGATTTTAGGTTTTGTTTTTAACATGATGATAGGGACACTAACATCAAAGGCATTGATTGAGTTAGCAAAATAGGTTAATTGGGTTTACTTATTGATAAGTGGGTTGGGAATACCAATTTATGCCTAAAAGTAAAAATATTAAGAAAAATAAGCATGCTTAATGCTAATTTTTTATTTCTAATCTCTATCATTCAAATATTTTATTTTAAAAAGACAAAAGAAGAAGAAAATGGCTTGCCCCGCCCTGTCTCCAACCTTGTTTTGACCTGCTTATATAGCAAGACGAATTGAGTTGGGTTGACACGTTAAAATATACGGGTTGACACGTTAAAATATAGGACGACCATTCTATTACTGAGATTGCTAAATTAATCTGTTAAATTCAACACGTTTTGCTAACTCTATAATTCTTAATAGAAAGGGTGTAACCATTTCAAAATGATAGGAGACTAGGATGTAAGGCAAAGATTTGAGCCCGGGCATGAATCAATATATTTAGACTATCTACCAAGTAATACTTTTAGCAATCAAGCATCTGACATCCCCTCAATGCCTTTAATTACTGTTGCGTCCAACTAATTTTGGGTATGTAAACTTATGGCACTCCCATCATAATTGATTATTAGTAATGAGTTATGTAAAACTGTTACGGAGTGTTTCGTCGAGGAGAATTTTTTTGAATACTAAAGGAAAAATAATTACTAGGGAAATGATTGAAAAGTGAATTTTGTAGGAAAATGTAAAAAAAGTTATTTGGTTGATCGAAATATTACCGGGCAAATTTATTTAAATTTACAAAGTCTATATTTAGTTAGACGTAAAATATTGATGAAAAAAGGGTTGAAATGGAAAAATAACCCTTTAAATTTTTTTTGAAAAGAAACATTGCGTATTAAGTCTGTCGCAACACGTCTTCTACCAAAGTCGATATTTTCCAAATCTCTGTCTCTCCTTTGTCCAGTCGGCATGCATGTCTCCGGCATGCATCATCCAGATTCCACTTTAATTTTTGCATTTACTTTAACATATCTCACCTTGGGTCATCAAGACTGATTCTGGGAATGGAGATCAGAGGAATGGGAATTTGAAACATAATTTGCAGAGGGAAAAAAAAAAGAAGAAGAAGAAGAAACTTCAATCATCTATTATAGCCGTGACACAGACAAATGATGTTTGAATAAGTTGCTTCTAAACTTTTGTACTGATATATTATGCTAAAGTGGAAAAGGATTGGAAGAGCCTGCAGAATGTACACTATATCTTTCTGCACTCACGGGCCTAAATTAATGGCCAACTTCTATTTGCATCCTAAAAGGAAGTTTTCATCAAAAGACATTAGGCATCAGCTCAATAATCACAGTCCTTTTACAAAAAAAAATATTACTATCTATGTAATTAACTATAGTTAGAGAATTAGTTAACAGCTAGAGCTCATTATACAGTCAGTTAACTGTTAATTTGCCAACTCATCATTTTCTCTTGTTATTTGTACTTGTTTATAAACTGAATAACACACTCAATGAGAATGAGATTTCATATTCTCTCGAACTTGAGTATCTCGCAATTAAAAAAAAAAGAAGAGCTAATGATAATTGAAATGCAGCTGTGACCGCAACAGTTATGCCAATTATTAATCTTGTGCAAGGCTTATGTTAGATTGATTTCTTTATTAGATGTGATAAGGAAATGCAATCTAGCCAGATTACTATGTTTTAATGAAGGGATATGTTTTTCTTATGTTGCATGAGACAAATTGTCTCATGCAACATACAAAAAGTGAGTAGGACCCATTTTTTTCTTTTCTCTCTCTTCTTCTTAATGGGTCCCACTAACTTTTTTATGTGTTGCATGAGACAATTTGTCTCATGCAACATGAGAAAAATATTTCCCTCTAGTGAAACTCAAATTGGTAGGACAAACAGTTATAGTTTGGCATTATCTTCAATTTCCCAAGAATTAACCAAGTATCAAAGGGCTCATCACTTAGAATAAAACTGATAGTTGTTATACCACATGGAACAATTGGACCCATAAATTTCCCAACTTCGTCTGATCCATTGGCTTGTAGATCACATGCTGCACAGATTGGTACTAATATTCAGAAGAGGAAGGGCTTCAAGGAGCACATGCTTCATAATTCGAAGTTGGAGGAGAAGCTTAAGATATTTAGGAAACCCATACTTATGATAAGCTCATCATTTAGTGTTGGACCATAATAACTTCTTGTTAAGTTCAGAATTGTTAATTGTAGACCCCATTCGTTATTGTATTATGTCATGTAAATGTTCAAAGCAAAACTCTGTAATATTGATTTTAACTGTCATTCAAATGTCATCAAAAGCCACTGTAATTTCTCCTATCCCATGCAATTGGTGCATGTGGTAGTGTAGATTGTTAGTATGATGCTATTACAGGCCTTGTTTGAAGTCTATATACATTGTGTGACTTGGAACTTAATTAGTGTATGCGGGTCAACAATTATTATGTATGCCACTGAAGAGTAAACTAGCTTAAGGCGGCTTTTTTACCCTTATAACCCTTTATTATTAATTAATTACCGATTTGACCTTGATTATAAACTATTTCAAAAATTTAACCCCCTCAGAAAACATAACACCAATCTGCCCCTGTTTGATCGTTGACCACCAAGCCTACCCGGGTACACCCCTCTGTACCCGGGTATTTTTTGAAAATTTTTGTCTACCCGGGTAGGGAGGCGTGTACCCGGGTATTGTTCTTCGCACCTGAGAAATTGCTTGAATTATTTACCCGGGTAGAGAGGGGTGTACCCGGGTAAATCTTCAACCACCCGGTATGATTACTCTTTGGATCTCCCATGCACTCTTCTTCTCCAAGCTTTGAATATGGAGGCACCGACTATCACGTGCTCTGCCTCTGCAACTTTTTTGGGTCTGTAAAGCACACAAATATTTTTCAATGAATATTTCAGAAAGAGAATTCTCAGTTAACAGTATAAATCCACAACCACAAACCTTGTCCCATGCATGTCTTCCCTGAACGTGATAATTCGTCATTTACCAGTAAAATGAAAAGCTGCATGCTCACACTAAATTTATGTACCATGAACCCTGTCTTTATTTTCTTTCCGTCTCACTCTCCCCAATAGACCCGGTACCACATTTATATATAGGAGCGCGATTTTGACGTACATAAAAGTAGACCCCATCATAATCGATACGAACAGGGACCGCTTTGATGAGCAGTAAAGTGTTGATGTATGGAAATTCCAAATCCATTCTCAAAGCTAAAAGCTCTTCAAATTGGTTAGGCATGCTTAACTTGATAATACTGATCTATCTCATTAGCTGTAAAAAAGAGAGAAAAAATACCAAATGGGTGGTCGAAGATTTACCCGGGTACACCCCTCTCTACCCGGGTAAATAATTCAAGCAATTTTTCAGGTACGAAGAACAATACCCGGGTACACGCCTCCCTACCCGGGTAGACAAAAATTTTCAAAAAATACCCGGGTACAGAGGGGTGTACCCGGGTAGGCTTGGTGGTCAACGGTCAAACAGGGGCAGATTGGTGTTATGTTTTCTGAGGGGGTTAAATTTTTGAAATAGTTTATAATCAAGGTCAAATCGGTAATTAATTAATAATAAAGGGTTATAAGGGTCAAAAAGCCAGCTTAAGGCAGACTAACTGCAAAATTGATGCAAAAAAAAACGTACAAAAGGAATTTGAAATAACGTTTACAAGTTCAAACAACTTGACAAAAAAGAATGTAAAAATATAAAAAACCCTCTACCAAACATTACCTTATGTTTTAAAAATACAACTTCCAAATAATTTTTCAAATAATTTCATTTTAATTTTTCATATAAAAAACCCTCTACCAAACATTCCTTTATCTATAATTATTGTTATTTTAATTTTTTTAATATTTGTTTCTATTTTAAGATAATAGTCAAGATTTGAAAATTTATAACCTCGGATGACATGTTCAAAAATATGCGGAATGTAATATAAATAGAATATTTTATTTATTTATTTCTTCTCCATCTTCTAATATTTATAAAGCAGTACATATTTAGTGTTCATACGATTTTATAAGTATGAAATACATAAAAAAAACTAAAGGATATTTATAACTTAAGCATAATCAAAATCCTAGATAAATAAAAATTCTAGATAGATCATAACTAGATACATGATTTTAATAAAATATAATTTTTAAATTAGATATTTATTAAATATAAATCTAATGGATCTAATGAATTGAGGATGTCTAACCTAATGTATTTGTATCTTGGATTAGTACGCTTATAAAAGTCAGTGGAAAAAATACGGCAAGAGATTTAACCTTTTATTTATAAAAGGTGTTACATATAGGTGCAGAATCCTAATAGAAATAAGATTGTTGGAAGATAAGATAAGTAGTTTTATCACTTATCCCGAATGAATAATTGAAATGTCTCTCAATGATTTCGTGATCAGTGTTATTTATTTCTTGGGTGTTAGATCTCAACATTTGGTTAGCCAATTGGTTTGAGAAGCTTTTTTCTATGATGTGTTGCATAGTTTAACTGAGAATGCCTAGGATTTTGCTTACTGTGGCTAAAATCATAAGGAATAACATATCGAGTGCGCATGGACTTTACAACTAGCAAATGATTTTGGGTCTATATTATATAATAAGGATCTTTTGTAATAAGATCAAGTAAGAATGAGTAAAACATGTGATATAATCACATGGGCTTGAACCTACATAGGCGTGGGCTACTTGTCTCAGTAGGCCTAGGGAAGGCTACCTTATTGATATGACAAGATCAAATTTTATTTTAATTTTAATTGATTAAGAGGTTACCTATAGATGCATAATCTCAATAGATAGAAAGATTGTTGGGGGACAGGATAATTTATCACCTATCCCTTAGGCATTGGATATAAAATTCTATTATTATCTCTTTAGCATGTCACTTATTTTTAGTAATACTTTTAGGAGCTGTGGGCCCATGGGATAAGTCCAAAATTAAATCATTAAAAATAAGAAAAGATTTGAATATCCTAAATATAATAACTATTATCAATTTTATAATTTAAAAATTATATGAAAAAAATTATAATATATTTAACATCAATCGTATTTGAGTATGAAAATATTATTGAAGGGGAAACCTAAGACATAAAAACTAATAAATATTAGAGCTTTAATTTTCTCAAGTTGCATGAAAATTATTTTCTGATATTGCGACTCAATCATTGTTGGACCCCATACTTATTAGAAAAAGAAAAAAGAAAAAAACATTTGTATACAAATTGAATGGCTTTTTCACCCTTTTGTCCTTTATTAATTAATTAATTAATAATCATTTTGCCCCTGATTCGAAACTATCTACCAATCTGCCCCTCTTTAATCGACTACCTTGTATTTTTAATCGACTAAACGGTTGTTGGGAGATTTAATCGACTAAATCTCCCTACTTAATCGATTAAAATCATACTGACTTTTTTTTTTTTTCAAATATGAAGATTTAGTCGACTAAATAGGGAGATTTAGTCCAGCAGCCATTTTTTGTCTGTTTTGGCCATTTAGTCGATAAAAAATGCAAGGTAGTCGACTAAAGAGGGGCAGATTGATAAATAGTTTCGAATCAGAGGCAAAATGATTATTAATTAATTAATAAGGGGCAAAAGGGTGAAAAAGCCCAAATTGAATGGTCACAACATGAAAAAATAATTTTCAATACAATATGAAAAATATTTTTTCCTAGATATTATCACATAAACAATTTATATAAAATGAACTGATAATAAAAATAATTGATACGGAGTTACATCTTTTTGTGTTGAAACGACATGATTAGAATGCAAGTGTTTATAAAATATAAATAATATTAACTAAACTCTATACATAATAATATTATTAACTATAATTAAATAATAAAAAATGTATGAATAAAAAATAACATGTATATTTATGTGCAATTATTATCAAAATTAGAAAATATTATGATTCAGAAATGACAGATAGGTCAAACAAATGCAATTTACAAAATGAAAAACAGTCCTTGTGTTGCACGCCAAAGGTAGGTGTGGGTCCAGGATTCATTCTTTCAAGCTTTATTTAATGACTTTAAATCGAATAAGAAATTTCGCTAAACAAGAAGTCAATTAATTACTATATGTCCTTCGTTTTTAAGATACCTCCGAACAGTCCACAGCAGCAATCCACTGTATTGACACTCACTACAAGGGAATGTGCATACCCTACTTGATCTTTATCGCTTGGATACAAAACTCGGCATAACCAATCAGATGACTCAGAGTACATTGAAGTAATGAACAATGAAGTAGAATATAATAACTGGATAAGGTGCGAACTGCATTTTCTCTCTCATTGCCTAGGTGGCAATTTCTCATAAACTGACAGTCACATTACAAACGCTGGATCATTTCTTTTTGTACCTTTTTTGTTTTCCCTGAATCATAGTATTTGTGAAGTATTTTATTGATCATTTATGACATATCAGGTAAACTTATAACTGAGATCCAATAAATTATAACTGTTAGATTGACAGAAATCAACGATGATTAGATTAGTTATAAATGTGGTAAACTTTTTTGGTAGTAAGTATATCCTATCCCTATATTATATAGGTTCATTTTTTTTTAGCAGTTAATGTACATAAATTATCTACATTGAAGTTAAAATGACATTATTTTAGAACAAAAATCAAGGTATTTTTATAATTATAATTTATTTGTGGATAATAATATTTTTTCTTATTATACTTTTTTAATCTTTCAACCTAAAATAATATGTTTTGAGAGTAAATGTAGATAACTTATCTACTGTAGAAATATTAAATCTATATTACATCAGTTAAATGTTTTTGGAGAAAAAAAATTCTCCTACATAGGACCTAACGTCAGTATAATAGAGAAAAATTTTGTTACAACAAAAGCATATTTTTTTTTCATATTATAATAGTTATTATACTTATCACTATTTTATACTTATTATTTTTTTAGTTATCATTAGGTCAATTTAAAATTCATGATGGCTAATTTTTTTTTTCAACAGTTAATTTTAATAAAACACTAGCTAATAAGTTTGAGGAATGATATATTGTAACAATTAATTAGTGTTATTATTAATATTACTATCAATTAATTTCATCATTAGATTGATTATGTTGATCTAATGATTATATTTATTTTCATCTTTGTATGATTATGATTGCTCATGTTTAATACTTTATATTTATTTCCATCTTTGTATGTTTATGATTTTGATTTTCCATATTTAATGTTTTCACATTAAATATAGGGAATTATAATATACAAAGATGAAAATAAATATAATCGTTAGATCCATATAATCGATCTAACAGTAAAATTGATTGGTAGTGATACGTTGGATCAACATAATCAATCTAACGATAAAATTGATGAATAGTGATATTGATAATAACATTAATTGATTGTTACAATATCCTACCTAATAATTATAAGTAAAAAGTAATAAGAGTGATAAGCTAAAGCGTTATTATAAATAAGAGTAAATATCCTTTTTCGGTCGCCAGCAAATTTTACGATGTCCACTTTAGTCCCTAGCAAATAAAAAAGCTATTTGTAGTTTCTGAGAAATTTAAAGTGGACTCGTTTTAGTTCTTTTGAGGGACTAATTTTTTTGGATTTGTGAGGTATCGCGATTTCAACTAAATGAGTCCATTTTGAATTTCTTAAAGACCACGAATAGCCTTTCTATGTACTAGGGATTAAAACGGATATCGTAAAATTTGATGACGAACACAAATATTTACTCTATAAATAATAATGGGATTAAAAAGAATTCTCATGTTCTAGGAGAAAGAATTCTCCTACTATTATTTCCAAAAAAAAAAAAGAATTCTCCTACTATAAACACAACTCTCATTACAAAACAAAAGTAAAAAAAGTTATTGTAAACATTTTGATGTCTCTCTAACAGGAGAAAGAATTATCATGCCATAAATAATATTATGTTATAAAAATAGTAGTTTTATTTTCTTCTTTTAGGAAGTGTAGGACTGTGTCCCTTGGTTTGCACCACCTGAGTACTCCATCTCTCTACTCTCTTGTGAAGTGGGGTTTGGGGGCTTTGATTCTCATGGATCATCATGGGACTCTCCAGAATTCTGGGATGAAGAAACGAAAGCAGGAGCAGGTATCCCTTTCACGAATTTTCTCCTCAAAAAGATTTTTTTTTCTTCTTCTACAATTCTGGTTTGTTTTGTTTCGGAATTCGGTGTCATCCCTTTGTGGGTTTGTCTCATTCGTGCTTTTCTAGGTTAGATTATGGGTAAAGTTTGTTGCTTTATAGGTTTTTCTTGTTGTGCTGTTGTTTTTGTTTGTGCCCTTTTGGATTTTGACCTTCATACTTGATCGTTTGAATTTCGTGAACTCATGTGTTTTATTTTTTTTCAATTTTTTCAAGTATTGGGTTTTTTTAATTTTAATTTTAATTTTTTGTTCCTTTTCCCTTGGTTTGATTCTCTTAGTTTACTTTTCACGTTTTGGGTTATATTGGGCATCTGGTATATTGATATCTGCTTAGTGTGCAACCGAACAGTAGAAACGTTGCCATGAATAATTGTACAGTTATATTTGTGGGTAAGAACAATGCTAATAGTTTTTCTGTCTCGGTGGTTTTAATTGGTCTTTCAATGCTTATCTGTTGAATTTAAGAAATGCTTAAAATGTCTTGAAACTTCCACTTTTGCCTTATGACCCCGCAGTCACCTTTGGAAATAGCCAGAGAAAGACCTTGACTTTGAAAACGTGTTTGTTAAAAGTAAACAATTTCTAATACATTTCATTTGGGGGCCTGGAAATATTTATCTAAGCTTTAATTATATTACCATTTGCTATCAAAACTGTGGAACTGGATACTGGACATTTATTCAAGTGCCAGTTACATGCCAGCTCATTTTGGATATGAATAACTAGTTAGTACATGTTAAATTCATGGATAAGGGATCCCCCCCCTTAAAATCAGTGAGTTGACTTTGTAGCTCATCGATTGTTACCTGTAGCTGAATTATACCTACAATGCCCCCAAACTTTAAATGTGGTAACTGTAGTCTCTAAACAGTGCCACAATGTGGCTGGTTTGTTCATCGTGTTCATGATAATGCATTCCTACAGCTTAGGAATGGGGAGTGTTCTTAAACCACTCAAGCTTAGTTGGAAAGTGACAAATATAATTATAGAGGGGCTTACTGCTGGACTATTCCACTAATCAGCGCATTGCAGCAAAAGTCACTTCCTGCGTCAATCCTGGACATTATGCTATTATACAACGGATAGGTTAATTTTGATGTAATTGAGTTGAAAGAGGGAATAGTTTATTGGGGAAAAAGGGGGTACAGCACAATGGAAAAGGTGGGGGTGCGAACTATTATGTTATCCTGATTTTATTGCTTGGTGATGAACCTACATGCTTAACATGACCTTTAGCCTTATGCTGGTTTTAACTTTTATTTGTTTTTCTTCTTTTTCCAGGATGGCTTGGTCAATAATCATGAAAATTCCATGATTGTGGGAGAATCATCTGGTAGTGTTGATCTCTGCAAGAGTTCTACCTCGGGATCACTGAATTCGAACAATCCCAATGGTTCAAATTCTGATATTTCATGTCAGGATGATGATGATATGATTGATGATGATGAAGATGAAGATCCTGATTATGGCTCGGATTTTTATTACAATGATGATGTCTATGCAGACGATTATTCAAGTATGCAGGATCAATTTGACAGTGTGGACTTGCCTCCTGGTGTAGAAGCATCTCTGCCTTGGTTGAAGGACATACCTTCTAGCGAATGCAAGCATGCTATTGCTTTTGCCCATGCAGAATCTAGTTCTAAGGGAAAAGTAGATGTAACTGAAGATACAGTGATGCAAAAATTTGGACAATTTAAGCAATTTGATACTGTTGATTCTTATCCTGATCATTACTATGATAAGGAGGGCGCTTCAGAGCCGCAGGTGATAAATATCGGAAAACATTTTTTTAAGTTGCATCTGCCGACACATATTTCCTAGCATTTGATTTAATTGAATCTTGCTCTTTTTAAATGTTCCTCACAGCGACCTAAGAATTGGGCCAAAAAAATCCAGGAGGAATGGAAAATTTTGGAGGAAAATTTGCCAGGTAAAATTTCTCTCTTGAAAAAAGAAAGTCATTATTCCTTATATACAAGATAATGTGTGTTGCTGTTATGGCCTTTTCTCCAGTTGTAATCTTTTGTAGTGCTTTCACAATTGCATTTTTTTTAAAGTTTTGCTAATAACACTTGTCGTCTTTAAAATCTTTTTTGGGAGAAAGGTAAATCATCAGCCAACGTATTTTCTTACGCTCCAACTTTTTACCTTTGTCTGCGATGAAACATGAAATTCAACCTGTATGATAATTTGATTTCATTTTCAATCATCTTTCCTTGTATATGTATCTCACAAACTTACTTTTACAGAAACAATCTTTGTGAGAGTTTGTGAATCTAGGATGGAGCTTTTAAGGGCTGTCATCATTGGACCTCAAGGAACCCCATACCATGATGGTCTTTTCTTTTTTGATTGCCTCTTCCCATCTACCTACCCTGCTGGTCCACCAGTATGTATCATCAATGTTCCATGTGTTTATCATATGTGTCTTTTGCTATGTGTATAATGGTCACTTGAATTATCTTCTGCAGAAAGTTCACTACCACTCAGGTGGCCTTAGGCTAAATCCAAATTTATATCAATGTGGAAAAGTCTGCCTCAGTCTTTTGGGCACTTGGCATGGTAGGAATAGCGAAAACTGGATTCCAGAAAAATCAACCATGCTACAAGTCTTGGTTTCTATTCAAGCTCTGATTCTGAATGAAAAGCCCTTTTTTAATGAGCCTGGATATTCATCAACTTATACTGGTGCGGAGGGGCAAAGAAGATCTAAGGAGTACAATGAGAATACATTCATTTATTCCTTGAAGACAATGATGTATACACTGCGTAAACCTCCAAAGGTATGTTCATTAGAAGATATCTGATTCTGCATTCTTTGCGTATAGTTTTGTCTTGACATTTTTCATATCTTACTTTTCCAATAATTGTTATGATTCCTGACTGAATTTCATACTTAGGTGTTAGATGGCTTTGCCCCTTTTTTCTCTTGTTTCAACTCTATAAATTGGACTGGTATGAATATTTCTATGTTTCAAGATTTAGATGTCATGTTATATAATATATATTATTAATTTCTAATATTAAAATTTGACTGGATGTTTAAAATCAATAGATGGGCAGAGGATTATAAAATCATTAAATGGGCTAGATACTGATTTTAGGAGCTCAATAATACATCCCTAGTTATTGAGTCAACTGTATTCCTAAACCCTGAGCTCGGATAACTTTATTATTGATAAATAACTAAGCTTCATATGAACAATGGGAATACCTCCACTAAATTCATCTTTTAAAAAATCTAAATTGTTGCAGTGTTTTAAATTATGCAAAGCTTTTTCTAGGAATCAAGCATTTATAATTTTTCTCTTAACCTTATTCATAGTTGTCTAGGGCTAAGAAGCACCAATGTGTGTTTACTTAAAAAAAAGAAAAGAAGCACTGATACGGCTCTTTTAAAAAATCAAATTATGATAGGTATGGTAGGGTATGACTGAATATATATAAAATATGAAAAAATGCTTATAAAACATTTAAAAATAATATAAAATTTATTACTGAACAATGAAAATTGAGTAATAGTAACTAACGAAAAATAAAATCATTTTATGATTGTCTTTTTTAAAGGCCAATTGTAAGATTGGAAATAAACTAGCATTGTAGTTGAAAAGTAACAGTAAAATCAACTTTCCATTAAAAAATAAAATTAATGCAGAATAATGGAAAGGTAAAAAAAATAGGAAAGAAATTGTGCCGGAATAGAAACAAAGTGAAAATGCGTACACATGGTGTCCAAGAAAGTGCCAAACTGAAACAAAAGCAACGCAGGTAGAAGGCTTGGTTTGTAGGTGGAATCATCACAGGTTGGACTGAATCGGGGCTGAAGTGAGGAAAGGGGCTGCAAAGTATTGAATAAAAACACTGTCATTTGAAACAGGCTTGGTAGGTACAAAGTTTGGGGACTGATTGCCACATCACAGTTTTTGTCCAAAATTATGTGAAATTTTGGTTTAAAAAAGAAAGAATTTGCATGTCTTGCCGGCACTGGAACCATACCGGACATAGGTACTGCAGCTCGAGAATCATACTGTTGCCATACCGGACATAGGTACTGCAGCTCGAGAATCATACCGTTGCTTCATTGGTGTAGGGCCATTAAATCAAATTTAATAATGACATTACTCAGTTATGTCTTCCAAAATCTGGATCTACAATGGAAATAAGCTAGGTTTTGTTTTGCTTGACTGAAGAGATTGTTTGATTTCTGCATTTTTTTCACATATTGGCTACTTAGGAGAGTCAAACCTTTGCAATTTTGCTTTGCGGTAGAAAATTTTATGTTTCTCTAAACAATGGTATAACTGTTCAATTTATGTTCTCCAGGCTTCTTCCTTTATGCAGAGATATTATTTTGATCTTTTGGGTTTGCTTTTAGTGTAACTCTTTTAGCACATATTAACTGATTGCCAAATTTGGCTAGATGTAGTTACTTGTACTGTACGTTACTCCGGATGCTTTTAGGAGACTCGTGCAGCACTCATATAGAAATGATACGGTGAAAAATCAGAATTCTTAGGTGGATGTGTGGTGGTAACATTGATAAGACTTGCAAATAGGGTACAAAATAGAGAGTCCAATAAAATTTTTTGCTTAGCAGGGTGATAAGGAAAGATTGTTCAAGATGTAGGATGACATAAAACTACTTGGCAGGAAAGAATGTAGAGGATACAGAGCTGAAAAAGTAGTGGGTGTTTGCATTTTGCAGTGATCTTATATGATCTTGCTGTGAAATTTCTGGTGTTATCAAATTTGCTTAAATAAAAAGTGCAAAAGCTCCAAATAAATGCTTCTCATGACAGGAAATGTATTATCTTGTGCCACATCAAGGTGCTTTTGGCTAATGGTCTAAAACCAATATGGTACCACTGTACCAGAATGCTCACACTTTTATGAATTATTATTTGAGAATTCTGGGATATTAAGGCTTGGTACTTTGATGAATAAATAGGAAGTGCATAATACTTATGAATTATCACTCTCCAACTTATTTGATTGTTTGCTCACTGGAGTTGGTTTGTAGCATTGTTCATTCATAGGTTATTCCCTGTATTTTCCTGAATATATACATAGCTGATATTGCGAGCTTAATTGTTGGATCTAGGTTATGTGGTTTTCTGGTCACATAAACACTCAAAACACCTGAAACTGATGTATGTGGATGCAGTAGGAGCCTAAAAATTTGTCTAAATCATAATCTTATGTATCTAAATATTTCCTTCATCTGCAGCACTTTGAGGATTTGGTTGCGGGGCATTTCCGAACACGAGCTTATGACATACTGACAGCATGTAGTTCATATGTTGAGGGGGCTCCAGTTGGCTCAGTTGTACATAATCTTGCTCAAAGTAGTAATAATAGTACCACCACTAACAGCCAAAAAGAATTTCAGTCAGCTGTGAGTAGGATGATGAATACTCTTATTGCTTTTTTCACCAAAAATGGCTCCATGGACTGTGAGGAGTTTCGTTCTCCTGAGATTTATAGTTTATCTGCCGTGGCTACTTCAAACTTGGAGATTTACAAGATAGAAACTGGCACAGCATTAACCCAGGTCTGAATGTCCTTAGGTAGTTTATGCTGTGAATGATGCGTAGTGGGATCTTTCTTTGTTTTTCTTTTTCTTTTTCTTACTCCTAGTGGCGATTTTGATGTCCCACATCGTGATTCTCGTTGCTGGCTATAGCACCTAGTTGTAAAGAATGACATGCTAGTTTAGCTTTTCAGAAGATGGTTCCATGTTTCTTATATGTCGCTTGTTTCTATCATAAAATGTTAATATTTTCATGAGATTATCATGTAGAGGGCAGTTTTTCCATAACGTTTTGTTTGACATGACAGAATACTTCCTCTGTAAGAATTGGTTTATATGCATTTATTTAATAGATTTTATGTAATTACTATTTCCACAATCCGCCCATGGTACCGTTTGTGTTTGACATTATTGTGTAAGTAGCTTTATACATAAATTTTGGTTAAATAAACCGATTTTTTTTTTTTAATTCGGGTGTTATAGTTTACAGTGCATTTTAAAACATACATGGGGCTTCACTAAATTGAGTTGAAAATGTATCATTTTAATCTATTAAAAAATAATGATAGATTTATCCTTGCAATGATCATTTTAGTAACAAAATAAACATGAATGATACTTCTTAAAAGTGACTAGAAAAAAAATTATTCATTCTGAGCAAAAATAAAAAATTATTAATTCTTGATTAAATTAAAGTGTAACCCAATTTTATTCCGTTAAAAGTTAATTATATATATATACTCTTATTTCATTATTTTAAAGACATTTTTTTAGAAGAGTTTTTCCTTTAAAAGATTTTGTGTTTTTTTTCAAAGAAAACAGTTTTTTCATTAAAAAAGAAGTCAATTTTTTTAAGATAATTAAAAAAAAGATAGATGATTACGTTAAGAAATAAAATCACACAAGGGATCCACATCGAACATAGTAAGCTCATCTCAATTAAACATAATAAGATAATAGAATGCACCGACTTTGAGGTTATGGTTTACTATTACAGTCTGTTCAACATACCCACAGTTCAACCAAGTCCTCAAAAAACCATGCCCACAAGAATACAAATCGGCTTTGCCTGGAACAAAATGAACGAACCAGCATAGCAAGATTGAAATAACAAAGCATAATGCAATAACAGTAATAAGTGGAGGGGGCGGTAGGGCAAAGTAAAAACGAAAAGTGCACCATCATCCAGGGACTATTTACATAATTTTTCTCTTAATATGCTCTTCAATTCAGAAAACACTAAAATTTATAGAGTCAGTGAATTCCAGTAGCTTCAGTCATTCCATATGGTCAGCTTCTCCAATCCCCAAATTTTAATTACACTCTTCCTTTTTAATGAAACCTTTGATTTTCAACTGTTCAGAACAGATAGTAGTGAACATTTCCAACAAACTATTACAACGCAAAAAATGAAAATGAACATCCCATACAAGCTTACAAATAAAGAAATGTTCAAATAAGATTCGTGATGGTGTATAGAATTGCAATTTGGTTTGCCAGCTTGAAGAAATTCCAAGCCAGTTCAATATCAAACTGCTACAAGATATTCCCTAGTCAGCTATACCAAATACACAGGCAGGTACTAATTTCAATCCCCAAGTGATGGTCTACATTGGCATCTTCCCGAAAGAAAGAATCAGCTTCTCACTAAACATACCTGACCTTTAAAAATAAATATATAAATACAGTTTAGAAAGGAAAAAAAATGGCAAATTGATACAGTAATTTCAATTACAATATTCATAGATATTATCTTGCAACTGTAGGATAACAAATTATAAAAGAAATAGGATACTACTTCCATGCAGGTTGGATGGCAATTTATGTAACTTCAGCAACAGACTGCGGAAGTATTGTTTATAAAGAATCTAAACTTGATGGCATATTCAGAACCAGAAACAGGAGGTAAATTGGGTGCTAAGATATAAAGGGCTCTCATAATGATATGTTGCTGTATTACAAAGGATTACATTTGCTAAATTGGATCCCAAGAATACAATGACCCTAAGAATGGTATGTTGCTGTGCTTATTTTGGCTTAAATCTCTAGTTTACAAAAATGGGAGAGTTGGTACAAAAGTCTCATCTTTGTTTGAGTTTTTGACCTATCATCAGATCATTGTAGGAGTTTCCAAAGATGTTTAACATAGAATTATGACTTTTTCAAAATTTACATACAGAATATAGTACGGTCAACAGAGACAAATGTAGAAGGAGATTAGTAAAAAAAATATTATTTATTCAGAGCTTTAATCGCTAAAAAAATGTGTTAGCTAATGCATAGGTGGAGAAATGTCAGAGAGCACTGTTTGCTGCATGCATGTTAAATAGTCTTTGCAGTAATCCATATTCCAAATCAACAAAAATAACTGCAATCAAAATTAGCATACTCAATTACCATATATATCATTATAATCTAGTAATATACATGCATGTTAGGAAAAGGTTGAGTGCCACTTATGCCACCAATTAAAAAGATGGATGACAAGGGAGGAAATCCACTACCTCTTGAAGAACTCAGCAATGTATCGTAGTACGAACCACATTAATACAATCACCAAAGTATCTGTAAAAGTTTAGGAACTCAAACAAGTAGTACCACAACAGACATGATAGCATATGCTTTCAAGAAATTTCTCCACCTTTTTTGCAAAAATCCTCTGACATGGTTCCTTCCCAACCAAAAGTCACCTAAACCACTACTGTTCAGACTACCTTAGAAATATGACAAACAAGTTTCCAACAATTGATGAATCTCAAGTTCACACTTTAAAGAAATCCCCTCAAAAATATCTAGAAATGATGAAAACTTTGCATTTTAGGAAAATTAGTAAATTACAAAGAAAAAAGATATAAGAAGGAGTTAAAATCCATGTATATGAGAGTGCAAATAAAGGATACTAAAAGTACAACGCTCCCACCAATCCAACATATAAAGCCCAAAAGTCACATTGTAAAGGAGGATCTTGCGCTGAATCCAATTCATTTCTTCCACAGCTGCAAAAAACACATCTCTCTCTTTTTGTCAGAAACAAGATATAGCTGCCTCAATCTATACTAGCTCAAAATACATTCTCACCATATAACTTTTGTCATCAGACTATAGAAACAGATAACCATTAGCTATTAGTGAGAGAAATATTTTTTACGTGTAGCATCAAGTAGTGCACTAAAGAAGAGAACAAAAAAATTAATTTATACAGCACAAATATATATGCTCAAATATAAAAAAAAAAAAAAAAAAATTTGCTCAAAAATAAAGACATATTCATGTTTAATAATCAAAAGTCATACTCGAGACACACAAAAACCATTAATCTAAGTCATAATTAACATGTTAATAACAACAAGAGTCAGGGAGCATAAGGGAAAAAAAGGGAATACACAGAGGAATGAAGTCGGAAAAAAGAAAGAGAAAAAGAACAGAAAAAGATTCGTGCGTTTATCAGACCACCTGTGACAGAGGAGGGAGCAGAGAACGAGTTTTGTTGGAATCAAACCAATGAGGTGGAGCAGTGGGAGAAGGTATTTGAACCCTAAAATGTTTCTAAAGCAATAAACTAAGGATCACAAAAATATTCCTAAGGAAATGAGTTGGAAAACTAAGGCATCAACAACACATCAAAATCATTACCGATATTAGGGGGGGGAGAGAGAGAGAACGCAAATCAAACAAAACAGCCCTAATCAGTAACGAATTGAATCGATGTTGTTGATTCTATGAATCAATCTTGGAATCATTGTTGATTGATTACCTTGGGATTGTGGATCGACACACGAGATCTGTAGGGATTGAGGTTGTCTTGCGCTTTGGATCGCAGAGAATGGCGACAGCAAGAGGAGGACGAGCACGACCAAGAGAAATTGTCTTCCAACAACAACAGCGTACGCAGTCACAAAATGGTTCCAATTTCAATGTTTTTTGTTTTATCAACATATTCGCTTTTTCTAATTTGTTTTTTTACAATTATCCGGCATTCTTAATTTTTTAATGATAGATTTATTAAAATGTATTACCCCTAATAGATAATAGATAGTATAATTTATAAGAATTTATAAAATAAAAAAAGTTTGTAAATATAATTTTTTTTATAATAATTATTAAACTATTTAGTTTATTTCTCTAATATATGGGAATCTCACACCCAATAAATAAAAATAAAAAGTTAAGTTTACCAACCTAAGGACACTCTCCAATAAAAACACTCTTTTATTGGAGAGTGTTTTTCTATCGCAACCTTAGTAAATGTCAGAGACAGAAACATCAAATCATCACTCATGGAGCATTGACAAAAACTACAAACTACTCAATAACCTTCAAATTCCTCTAAGGTAGCAACAAGAAAAATAGGTCATCCTTCCCTTAATAATACACACGAAGCAAATCTAAATGTTAAGAAAAAATTAACTCTTGAACGGATTTATCAAGATTTTGATGATCAATGCTTGATTTAACAAGTCATTGGTCTCTTCAATCAATTCGGAATGTTGTTGAGTAGTTTAAGTATGGCTACTTAACAGACTTTGGAAAAATAATTAAGTGGTTCAGACTCACTTAATTATTTGGTGATCCCTCTCACATGAAGAAATTTTTCTCCCATTTTTATTTCTCTCATTTTTTCTTCTTTTTCCATTTTGTCCCCTATTTTGAGAGAGGGAGCATCCAAAATTTCATGGACCAATAGCACTGCAATTCCTCTCCAGACTTTGACTCTCAATCTATAATGAAACTTTCAACTATTAAACAATAACAAAATTCCTAATCCCTATCATCCTCACAAAGTTTCTGTAAGCTTTTGCTGAGTTATTGTGCATTTTCTCTATATTAATATGTGGATATTAATTGAGTGGCTCACTTTCCTTACACCATGTAGCTCAACTACTTTAAGGCTAAAGTTAAAAAATAAGCTCTTAAAAATTATGCTAAAATATAAGTAAATTTATTTGGTCTTTAATCCATAATTGTTCATGCCTACAAATTGTTTATTGAAAGGTTAGACTCAGAAAATGTTCGAATCGTCCTCGTGACTAAAATTCATGTGAATAAATGTTATATATTGAGGCAATAGGAACACTTCTATGTCACTAAACAATCCCTTGGGTTTGAACGATTTTTCTCCAAAAAATTAATGGTGGAGATTAGAGAAGTTATCAAAGCAATGTTGGATATTCAAGTTGGAATAATAAGTAATTAAATCCTATATCAATTAAGAATTGATTAAATAAGGAAAATGTGAGTGAAATGACTCATAAATTTAAAATTTTAAGATTTTGGTTCAGGACATGATATTAAGCCTACTTATTATAATGGATTATCATTTAACCCATTAATAATTATGACTTAACAAATGACATAGTTAATAGAGCCTTAAGGTTGTTAGAGACATAAGAAGATGAAATAATTTTCCTCAAAACTTGTGTCTCACAAAAATGGTGAATGACGAAAAAATAAAAAGCTCTAGAAGCTCCTCCTGTCCTGACAGTTTTAGGTTTTTTTTTTTATTTTTCTTCATAAAAAAATTATTTTTTCAAGAGATATATAACCTCAAAAATATGTTTGATCCGATTTCTTCTCATAAAAAGAAGAGAAACTAGAATAAACAGAAGCAACCAATTTTAAAAAATCCTCGAAAAGTAAAGCGGGTTTGTAATTCTTATTTAAAAATTAACTTCCGATAAAATATTATTGTAAATTTTTTAAAATCTATTTCATTTAACTCTGTATTTTTTCTGCAATTTTATTTGGGAAAAATATTTTTATTTTATTGCAGAAAAATTTTATCTATCATATTCATATAAAAGTAAGTGAATCTCATTATAAAAAAAAATTAATTAATATAACCCATTCACTTTTACATTAGAGTAGTGGACAAAAAATTTCTCCAATAAAAACAAAAACATTAAATCCTTCCTATTTGAAAGTAGTCAAATCCCTGGGCCAAATAATCCATGTATTATTGATTAATTGGTTCCATGCTTGGGTCACGTTTTGAATCAGCAGACATCATAGACTTTTCAAATTTTCCAAAGCCCTTTTTCAAGCCCAAATCACTCCCTATATTTCATATCTTTTTGCTGCCAAAAATACAAAAAAATCAAAAAAGCTAACAGAATCGCTTCATTTTTTTTTTATTTTTTATTTTTTTGATAACACGCTTCATTTTATTTAATCTGTGGATTCGATGGTTTATATAGATTTGTTATGAACAGTGGACTTTAAATAAAAAACCCAGCACGGAACATACAGAGTTATAAACTTATAATGAGATAAGTCCACAAAATAAATACATACTAATTTTATATAAAAATATCTCCAAGTACCAACCAAAGAGAAAAATACACCCAAAATTATATACCGTCGAATTTTGGTACACCGTTTTTTCTCGGATTCTAAGGAAACTGAATTTTTTAAAATTTTAAATTTTCGGATATTATCGTAAACTGAATGTAAAAATTATATTTTTAAAAATCAAGATTCCCAGATAAAAAAAATTTCTCCTCTACCAAACGCCCTAATGAGTGGTAAGGGAATTTACATAAGGTTTTACGTTAAATATTTAGTACTATCATTGTAATAAGGGGAAAATGTGTATCATTTTAAATGATGTAAAGTTATGTCATTTTAAGAGAGAGAAAGAGATAGATAAAAGAGGAGAGAGAGGACAAAAAAAAAAAATGTGTGGGTCTCATCTCTTTGTGAGAGTGAAATGATATAAGTTGTGTCATTTAAAAGAATAAACACTTTTCTCTTGTAATAAATAAAAAAAGAGAAAAATACACCCATAACGAAAATCTACAATCACAAGGCTATTTTTTTTTGGATTACAGGCTATTAACAATGGAAAATATTACTCTCGTGTAACATGAGAGATTTTTTCTCTCATACCCTCACAACTTAGAGGAGAGAGAATAAAGGAGAAAAAAAAATAAAGAGTGAAACTCACCCTTAATTTGTGAGTGCATAAGAGAAAAATTCTCTTATATCACATGAGAGTAATATTTCTCATTAACAATATATGAACTCAACACACATGTTGCAAGGTTCTTTGACCCATTTGAGATTTTTATCCCTTTAAATTTTTAATATGGTATTTAATTCACGATATCTATTAATGGGGTCATTTAGTGACGCAAAGAGAACCCAGCATCATTGAGTGTCGCGACCCTCCCCTGCGTCACTCACACATTTTTTTTTCAATTGAGTGGCGCCCCCTCCCTTCCGACACTCACAGGATTGTGCCAAGTGGCCTAATCTCGTTAGTCCTATTATCATGAAACTTTGGAAGACCATAACTTTTGACTTAAGTATCCAAATCGAATAATTTTTTTTCACATAACTTTTTGAGATTTATACAATGATACCTTATTTAACATATTTTATCTCTCACAAACATAGTTCAAATTTGCAACAATAGTTCTACATTTTTACAAATTTGAATTATGTTTGTGAGAGATAAAATATGACAAATAAGGTGTCATTGCGTAGATATCAAAAAGTTATGTAAAATAAAAAAATCATCTGATTTGAATACCCGAGTCAAAAGTTACGGTCTTCTGAAGTTTTACGGTAACGGGACTAACGAGATTTTGCTACTTGGCACAATCCTTTAAGTGCCAGAAGGGAAAGGGACAACACTCAATTAAAAAAAGATATGTGAGTGACGCAGGGGGAGGGTCGCGGCGTCAGTAACGCTAAGTTCCTCTCACGTCACTAAACGACTCATTGATAAATAACGAAAATCAAATACTAAATTGGTACACTAAAAAAAAAAAAAAAAACCCAATGGGTCAAAGAGCCCATGCTCAATCCTTAAAAACGTCCAAACCTAAAAAATCCAAGCGAGACACAACTGAATTTATATCAAGAAAAACATTTGATAATAAACAAAGAATAATTTTTTTCAACTTAACGACAGTTATTAGTGATCACTACCATCTAGGTTTGGTATTATGGAGGAGTTAGAACAGGTATTGGTTCAACCCAACCTTGCACTTGCACATAGTCTTAAGAATTAAAACCCGCACCTTTTTTATTTCACCTCGTCAAGTACTTATTATATGCTTTAAAATAAATTCATACAATAATTAACTATTATATTAAAATTAATTAATTATCTCATATATGTTATTTTTTTAAAATAAGTAGTAATCTAATGAATATACTCAATATAAATACCTAAATTAATGAAAACTTTTAGTTTCACCTCTCATGATAACCTATTCATATTTATTATTTAGATCCACTGTGATAACACTTAACGCTTAATTCTTAAATGTAAAAATTTCCCATGTTATATAAAATATCAAAAATATTTTAAATAAATAAAATATCCTTAATTGAAAACAATGTCATAAATATAATATTTATATAGATGTAAAGTACTTGTAAGACGAACTAAAACGAATTGACCCCTGTTCAGTCCTGTTGCAAGACACAATAGAGAAAATTCAACACATGTGAATTGAAATGAGATTCCAGACTGTCCAAAATTAAGGTGAGTATGAAAAGGCATGATCATTCTTTTCCACTAAAACTAGTAAACACTCCAAGATTTCCAGATAGACTTTTTACATTAACCGAATCCTAATTATCTCAATGAATTAGCTCCCCTTAATATTTTTATAACTTTTAATTCTTTGAGCCGTATTATGGACTCATATGTGAGTCCATTTAATATAAAGCCCAATAAAAAATAATTCAAATACAAATCTGATATAATCAATAAAAAATATTCATCAAAAATATTAATCCTAATACAACAGTGTTAAACATGGGTTTGGGCTACTAGAAGAGGCACAGAAGGTCCAGAATCATAATAATACCCACAGATAAATTCTATAAATAAGAGGTAAAGCCTACAAGTATAATTATTTTCTCTTTACTATTGTTATGTTGT